CACATGTGTCCTATGTGAGGGTTAAGCTGCCGAGTCTGGGACTCCAACCATGGATGACCACATGGGAGTCCAGCTACATAACCATCACACCATCTCCTGGGCCCTCCATGATGTTTTATGTTTCTCTCAGACTCTTCATTTTACTTTAATTAATTGATATATTTAAGACCAGGTCCCACTGTGTTGCAGTCCCCCTGCCTAAGCTCCCAAGTAGCTGAGACCACAGGTGCATACCACCATGCCTGATTTTTCAGATAAGACTTTTCCCAGGCTAGTCTTGAATTCACAATTATCCTGCCTCAGCCTCCACGTCTCTGGGATTATAGGTGCACACCGCTACCTACAGCATTTAGTTTGGGACCTTCCATGTGGTCCCAGGCTGCAGAGCACAGCATCTTAGCAGTGTGTGTCACGGCAGTTGGGCCTCTTCTTTTATTTTTTTTTTAGAGGTTTTTGCTGTAGGGCGTGTGCACTCGCCAGACAGACAGAGAGAGACAGAGAGACAGAAAGCAAGAAATCACCCTCCAGGGGGAATGGCCACGTCACAATCCCTTCTCCTCCATTCCCCTCTCGGGATCTTGGGCAAGCACGCACATGCACCTGGCGTGAGTTTTAAGCCACCAGGTCCAGGACACAAACAGCGGTCGACTACATGGGAGTCCAGTGACATAGCTGTTACACTAACTGCTGGTCCCGGGTCTCTTCTTTTTCCTCTCCATTCTTTATATTGTATAGCTTTCATCAATCGATCTTCAAATTTACTGATTCTTAGTCTTCTGACTGCCTTAAATCTACTGTCTACCTCCTCTAATGAATTTTTCATTTCAGTCATCATATTGAAAAGACTCCAGATTTATCATGTGTTCCTTAATTTTAGAGTTTTTGATATAAGGCACATGCGTTTACCAGAGAGACAGAAAGTGATAAATCACCTCCCCAGAAGGGACAACCATGTCACAATCCCTTCTCCATTCTCCTCTTGGGACTTTGGGCATGCCTGCCACATGCACCCGGCATGAGTTTTAAGCTGCTGGGTCTGGGACTTGAACTGCAGTCAACTACATGGGAGTCGAGCAACGTAACCATTGTTCCATCTGTTGGTCCCCATGTGTTCCTTTTTAAAAAAATAATTTCTACCTCTTTATCAGTAATTTCTACCTCTACTTGATAAGACATTATGATGATGTATTCTTTCAATTCTTTAAACATGATTTCCTCTGATTCTTTGAGTCGCTCCTTTGAAAATTTTGTCTACTCAGTCTACCATCTGGACTTTCTCGAAGGCAGTTTATGCTGCCTGCATTTTTCTCCGGGTGAGTCACACTTTCTTGTTTCTTTGCCTATCTCATAATTTTTGATGAAAACATTTTATTTTAGATTCTATATGGTAGCATCTCTCAATATTGGTTCGCATTGCCCCTTTTTGGAGCTTGTCGTTTTGGCTCGTTGCTTATTTAGTGACTCGGCTGGACTCGATCAGTAAAGTCCACTTCCCTGCTGTTCACAGTTTCTGATGTTGCTCCTCAGAGGGTGCAGCCTCGGTCATGGACACAGTCTCCCTGACAACCAGGAATAATTGTTGTTTCAGCTGAGCTCTCTGACTTTCGCTAACTCCTGGCTGGTCTACCTATATCGGCATCACTCCATTCACTGCTAGCTGATTGCTCTATGGCTTTCCACAACACCCCGTTCTGCATTCTGACCCAATCAAAGACAAGCCCCTCTACAGGGGTAAGGTGTTGCCTGCCTTTCAGGCTGGCTCCAACCCCAAGAGGGCTCATGTTACCTCTGTTAAACGTAGGTGGTCTACTGCTTTGCTCTTTGCTACTAATATCATGGAACTCTGAGCCTCTTCCAAATAGCTCACCCCAAAGGTCTCCAGTTGTTTCCCCCAAAGTTCTTAGGCATGAGATCATTACAGGGTTCCAAATAAAGCCAGTCCCCTTTCTCAGCATTCCAGAACTCTCCAAATGATGGTCTCTTTCTCTCAGGGTAAGACTTCTATGTCCCTGTGTGGAGTTGAGGGTGAAAATAAATGACCCCCTTTCTTGTAATGACTCCCCTGTTCTACAAGTGGGATGCTGGTCTTAGCCGCGTGCCTTCGCAGCTGTCGTAGTTACGTTTGAATGCTTCATTTCTTGCTACTACATTATATTTTATTCTGTAATCATCATCCTGACAAGGTGTATACATCTTTAAGTCTCCCCGCAATTGTGTGTCTACCCTAGGCAGATACTTACTGAATCCTTGACAAGTTTTTATTGCCTTCTGAATACAAGTTAATAAAAATTAATCTTATTGGTTTGCTTCACAGTGAAATAACACAGTGCTGGGACCAGCAGATGGCGTAATGGTTACATCGCTGGACTCCCACGCAGTCAACTGCTGTTCAAGTCCCAGACCTGGCAGTTTAAACCTAGGCTGGGTCCATGTGTGTACCCAAAATCCCAAGAGGAGAGAGAGGAGAAGGAATTCATTGGATGATTTCTCAGTTTCTATCTCTCTGTCTTTGTCTCTCTGGTGAGCAAATGTGCTCTATAGCAAAAATCTTTCAAAAAAAAAAAAAAAAGAAATAAAACAGTGCTTCTCTGGCTGAAAGGTACAAACCAATCGCCTGGAATCTTATTATAAGTGCAGAGTCTGACCAGGAAGGTCAGGAGTAGCCTAAGAATCTGCATTTCTAACCAGATCCCAGATAATGCCAGTGCCACAGATTGTACTTGGTGACATAAGGAATTAAAAGGCAAACTCAGGACAATTCCACATCACAAACATTTTAGTTCTTTAAGCTGATCTGTGAAATAATGGTATTCCACTTAAAAGATCAAGAGAGTTTGTTTGTTTGTACTTTAAACAAACTGACCCAAAAATTCTTTCGGTAAAATAAATGTCTATCTCCACTATTCTTTTTTTCCCTAAAGAATTTTTTTTTTTTTTTTTTTTTTTTTTTTTGTCACAGGGAATGTGTGCTCACCAGAGAAAGAGCAAGGCAGCGAGAGGAAAAGTGAGAAATCACTCCCCGGGGTGGATGGCCATGTCTCAACCACTTCTCCTCCATTCCCCTCCTGGGATTTTGGGCAGGCACACACATGCACCCAACATGATTTTCAGGCCACCAGGTTCGGGACTCAGACTGCTGTTGGCCACGTGGGAATCCACCACTGTATCCACTATGCCACCTCCTGGTCCCACAATGTACTTTTAAAACATTTGAATGAAATATATTGCCTACACAGAACAATTGCTAAATAGATATATTGCTTACACAGAACAATTGCTAAATAAATATATTGCCTACACAGAACAATTGCTAAATAAAAATTAAAAGAGCAATGCTAATTCAAAAATGATTCACTCAATTAGATGGGTAGTTAATTTTATTCTATGATAATTTCAAAAATAAAAATGGAAAAGACAGGGTTTATTTATTTATTTATTTATCTATTTTTAGAGATTTTTGCTATAAGGTGCATTTGCTCACCAGAGAGACAGAAAGTGAGAAATCACCCCCAAGGTGGGGATGGCCACACCACAGTGCTTCTCCTCATTCTCCTCTCAGGATTTTGGGCACACACACACATGTGCCCAATGTGAGTTTTAAGTCACCAGGTCTGGGACTCAGACTGCAGTTGACTCTGTGGGAGTCCAGCAACGTAACCATTACATCATCTGCTGATCCCAAGATAGGGAGTCTTCAAAAAAATAAATGAAAAATTGAATTGTTGGGGTCAGCAGGTGGCGTGGTGCTGGATTCCCACATGACCCACGATGGTTTGAGTCTCAGACCTGGCAGCTTAAAAATTGTGCTGGATACATGTGCATGTGTCCCAAGAGGAGAATGGAAGAGAAGGGATTTCAGTGTGGCCATCCCCACTTGGGGGGAGGAGATGATTCTCACTGTCTTTCTGTCTCTCTCCAGCAAGCACACACACCTTATGGAAAAAAATTTTTTAAAAAATTGGAACTGCTACAGGTTCCAGCAATTCTGAGTACATATACCCAAAAGAATTGACAGCAGGGACCTGAACAGATTTTTGTACCCCTATGTTCATAGCAGCGTTATTCACAATAGGGAGGAAATAGAAGCAACCCAAGTGTCTACCAGTAGATGAATGAATAAATAGAATGTAGTATACACACAATGGAGAAATACTCAGCCTTAAAAAGAAAGGAAATTTTGACAAAGTTTACAACATGGATGGACATTATGCTCCATGAAAAAAGTCAGTCACAGAAGGACAAATACTGTCTGATTCCGCTTAGATGAGGCACCCAGAGCAGTCAGCTTCACAGAGACAGGCAGAAAGGTGTTCCCAGGGGCTGGGAGATGAGAATGGGGAGCTACTGTCTGATAGCTACAGAGTGTCACGTTGAGAAGATGAGAAAGTTCTGAAGAAGGAATACAGTGATGACTGCACGGGCATGAATGTACTTCATGCAACCGCACTTACACTTAGCAATGGCGAAAATGGGACATTTTATGCTTTATGTATAATAAGGTAGGAAGGTGAATTGAGACTGATTAAATCAGAGTATACTTAAATATACAATTTTCCGCACACAAAAAAACTTAAGTAAAATATATTCTTTAAAGGAGAGAAAGGGAAGAAGGGAAAGTGCTTGGTTTCTGCACTGGATTAAGAACATCACGATCTGTCAGAATTGGTCTTGTGAGTCCCAAGCCCCCTCAGCTCTTTGAAAATGTAAACATTATTGTTAGAACTACATTGAAGCTGTGGACAGAGCTGACAGGGCTAGTGAGTCCTCAAAGCCGGAGTGGCCAGTGTTCCCTGGGTGTAACTGGTCCTTCCCAACCCAGGACCGAGCCAAAGCTGAGGCTTTGAACAAGAGGTTACGGAAGCAGCTGGTCGAGTTTCGGGCCCCGGCAGTGATGATGTATGTCCAGGAGAAGATCCAAAGTGGGGAGCTGGAGAAGACCATCAAGATGTGGGAAAGGAAAGTGGAGATTGCAGAGGTGAGTCCCTGCGAATCCAAGACAAGCCAGTCTTTTATGCCCTTAACATTTTTGTCTAAGGCTCTATTTTGGGGGCCAAGAATACAGATGTTTGGACCTGTAATGTCTATGAGAAATCTCAGCAGTTGCTTTAACTATTAAACAAACATGAAGGATTTTTTTTTTTTCTTTAAAGCCCCTTTTCATTGTTAGGAACAGGGTCTTTGCAGGTAACAGGGAGAGGCTCTGTAGTAATAGTGTGTTTTTAGTTGCTTGTTTTCTTTATAAATTCTGGAAGCCTCTGCATTCCTCCACACCACTGGTAATTAGTGGTTGTTACTTAGTACACAGAGAAGCCAATTTAAAAAAAAAATGAGAGAGATAATAATGGATTTTTAATAACACTCAGAACTGGACCCCAAGTGTTTACATAATTGCCAGGGGCTTCTCATTGTTAATTAATCTGGCAGCCTTTGGATATGGTACAGTGTGTGCAGGAAGCACCCTTGCTCCTTGTGAGATGCCCAAGAGAAACGGACAACGTGGTAACTATCTGCTGGCGTTAGAAAAAAAAAAATCAAGACTGCCACAGCCAATTTGCAAGGTGGCTATAGAGTCGCTTAAAAAAACTAGTCGGTTCACTTGGGAGAACTGGGAGCTTGATATTTTCACCCCTAGACCCCAGCTCCATTTCCCATATTCATTTTTCCTGCCTTTCCTGTGGCCACTTGGTGATAGGCAGTAAATTATGATCCCAAATTGGGCCAAATCTGGACCTGAGTAGTAACAGAGGATGATCTTAGGAACCTGCAACTTCCTGCTTCACTGAACAGAAAGAGGGCCTTAGGAGGATCTTCTGGTGGGCCCTGCCCAAGGGTATCCACTGCCCAAGGATATGCATGGTAGGGCACAGTGCCAGCTGCACCATCGGCAAGGCTGGATGAGGGGAGGGCTATATTCTGAATAGTCACAATCAGTGTTTCCTACGTGACCTCCTCCTCTATCCCCTTTCCCTTTTTCTTTTTTGCAGATGTCCTTAAAAGGCTACCGCAAGTCTTGGAATACAATGAAAACATCCAATGAGCATTTGCAGGCACTTGGTCCCTCTGTGAAATAGCCAAAAGCAGGCCACTGCATGCACTCTCAAGAAGTGATCCATTAAAATAATCAGCCTCTTTCTAGTCCCAGGAGCCTCTCACTATTCCCTGTGCTGGCTGGTGTCCCGACTGATGTCCTGAATCCCCAGCCAGGCTGACCGGCACCTCTTGGGGTCATATCTGCTTGCAGAGCGTGTTTTCATAGCCTGGCCCCTGGAACCATTAACACTGAAAGAACCACAGGGCACTCTAATGGTTTGACACTTGTTAGCCCACATTTAGTTCACAAGCACAAATCAAAGTGACCTTCCCGCATGTGGGAGTGGGACAGGGGACGGAGAACCAGCCCCGTGTGTGCTGTGGACCTATTCGTGGCAGGCCAGGTGTGCAATGATCAAAAACAGACACCAGGCAGCAAGGTCAAAGCCTGGCACTCAGCCTTGTGAGTGCACTCTTCGGTCTGGTAAGTTAGCTCTAGACTAGACACTGCTGCAAAAGAAAACAAGCACGAAGAACACCAAAATAATTTCTTGGGACTGATGCAGCCTATTCTGACCTGCCATAGATCTCCCCCCCTCGACTTCCCCACCATAATAGTCATAGTACATGGGTTGTATGGACATCTCAGAAGACTTGCCTGATTCCCTTAGGTCCTTTTCCCTAAAGTCTAGACCATCTCTAGAACTGTTTGTTATCCATGAATGCACAGTGGATCTCCTTTGTCCTTGGAAGTATGATGGGGACCACCCAATATGGCTCCGTCCAGGCTGTGTTTTCCGTGTCGTGACCGCATATGATGGGTGGCGGGGAAAAGAGATCAACCTCTCCCAGTGGTGGAGTGAAGACACGGGGAGGCCAGCGCTCTCTGTCTTGGACATGATCCAGTTGCTGTAGTCATCCACCTTTGTGTACAGAAATATGCCAGGGCAATCCTCACCACCAACGGTCAGGATCCCCTTCAAGACCCACAGATCCATCTGCTGTAGCTGGCACATCATTGGGCTTCCGGGATCCCCCTGTGACAAAGGACAGAAGGGTTCAGGTCTCAGAAACCCTTGATTTCTTTTTTTCTTTAGTATATTTGCATGCAATGTACTGTTTTATAAATGTTTTACACTGGTTCTAGCTGGACATGGGGCAAATTATAGGATATGATTCCAAATCTAGGAAGCCACCACCACAAATTCTACCTAGATGACCTTTTCTTTTGTTATGCAAATTATGTGTGAACTTATGCACATTGCCTATAGCTTCTTGGTTGTTATTTCATTTTCATTTTCTTGCCCCCTTCTAATACTTTTGATTAAAGTCTCCCACTCTATTGGCTTGTCCTTCCTCAAACCTTGATATTCACTCCTCTCTGGCCTGAAATGCTCACATTTCCTCTTCTCCTCTCTATCTTGCTCCCATCCTTAGTTTAAGTGACTCTCTCCCATCCACAGTCCTGGGAGTGGGAGGAAGGTAGTAGATTGGGATAGAGCCAGGGAGCACATGCTGGATTAGGTTCACAGTTTCCCACCTGCCCATGCCCCTGGCCTTCCCTGTTTCCCAAGGGACAGTCATCTGGCATTCAGGAACTCACTTAAGGCAAGTGGGTAAAAGCTTGACATGCCTTAGTTAGATATGTGACCCCAGACAAGTAACCTGGTCCTCTCTGAGCCAAAATGGGGATGTAGTAATGTCCTAACACATGCAGTGCACTTAGCACAGTGCCTGGCACACAGGATCCACTCAATTATGTATTAGCTACTGTCATCTCAATGTGTATAACAGGCCACCAACTTTCTGCAAAAAAATGAGAAAAATGGAAAAAGCAACAAGGCAACCTAGAAAGTATGATTTACCTTACCTGGTCTGCTCACTCTTAACCCCTTGTTATTAAAAGGATACCCAACTTTCACCCATGCCCCATGATCCATCTTGGTGCTTGCCCAAGGGCTAGCCAAGGGCCTTTTGCCTGCTGCATGCTTAGAAGAGCTGGGCAATGATCTGTTGCTCTTGGTGTTTGGACTGAAACATGAAGCTGGGTTGCAGTTGGCAACAAGAAACAATCTCAACGGACTCAATAATGCAAAGCAGAAAGGCAGAAGAGTGGCCACCTCAGCCCCTTCCCATCCCAAGGCCAGTGTGTCTGGTCTGGTTTGAGTGACCTCTCTCAATAAAGCATTTTCTTCTCCTCCTCCTCCTCCTCCTTCTTCTTCTCCTTCTTTTTTTTTTTTGGAGAGGTTTTTGCAATAGGGTGTGTGCGCTCACCAGAAAGACAGACAAAAAGCGAGAAATCACTGCACCCCGCCAGCGGATGGCCATGCCGCAATCCCTTCTCTTTCATTCTCCTCATGGGATCTTGGGCATGCACGCACACATGCCTGGGGTGATTTCAAGCCACCAGGTCTGGGACTCGAACCACGGTCAACTATATGGGAGTCCAGTGACATAGCCATTATGCCAAATGCTGGTCCCTATACTTTTAGAGTCATTGAAATCCTCAATGCTTATTGAACCTCCTGCTTTAAGGAAGAAATTTCTTTTTATAAATCTGAACTAGTAATCTCTTTGTGTGGATATCACATTGCAAAGCACAGTGGAGGAGAGATTTTTGTCATGGAATGACCAGAAACCACCATAGAGCACAAGAAACAGGAGAAACCAAGAAAATACCTCTCCCCTAAGGAAAAAGAACAATCCCTCAACATCCACAGACAGTACAGTATAACTCTCAGAAATTTCTGATAGAGAATTCAGAATATTCATTGTGACAAAAATAAACAAGATCCAAGAGCTGAGAGAAAATGAACTCCAGAAGATGCAGGAGAAAAGAGACAAGTTCCAGGAGGTGTTGAGGTTCTTCCATGACCTGAAAGAGTAAATACACACCATAGAAAGGAATCAAATGGAACTATTAGAGATGAAGGCTGCCATTCAGGAAATCAAAACCTCCCCCAAATGTATTAAAAGCAGATTAGTCCATGCAGAAAATTGAATCTCGGATGTTGAAGGCAAAACCTCTCAACTAAAAAAACAACCCAAAAAACAAAACAAAACAAACCCTGAGAAAGTAACCCCCCAAAATGAGAATACTATACGAGAAATACTAGACAGCATTAAGCACCCAAACATCTGAATAATCAGTACCCCAGAAGGTGAGGAAACTAATAAGGGCATTGATAATCTATTCCATGAAATCTTGAAATAAGACTCTCCAAATCTAGAGAGGCATTCAAATATCCAGACCCAAGAAATACAAAAGACCCCTAATAGAATCAACCCAAGAAGATTTTCTCCAAGGCAAATCATAGCCAGACTGGCCAAATCTACAGATAAAGACAAAATTGGCAAGAGAAAAATGTTAGGTTACTTAATAACGGTTATCCAATCAGGCTAACCTCAGACCTCTCACCAGAAACAATGCAAACAAGGAAAGGATGAAAAAATATATTCAAAGTGATAAGTGCCAAGAATACTATACCCAGCAAGATTATCTTTCATATGGAAAGAAAGGATGAAAACATTCTCAGATAAACAAGACCTGAAAGAATTTGCCAATAGCAGACCCACTCTTCAAGAAGTTCTGAAAGGAGTGCTCTACCAGGAAAACTAAAGACACATACAGAAATAAGAGGAGAAAAGGCAACCAAGAAAATGACCAATTTAATGCTAGGGACAAGAAATATCAATAATAATGTTGAATGTTAACTTCCAGGATTTAGATGGAAAGATTGGACCACAGTAACATTGCTTATTCAACAGAAGAGAGTCTGAACATAAGACTGAACTGGCGAAATATAACTTTATGACTTTTTGAGTGAAACAGTATTGATTTTTTTACTATGCTTTGTTTTCCCAATTTAAGCATTTTACTTTCTTTTGAGTTGTTGATAGGTTCCGCAATTTGTTAAAATATTTTTCTTGTTTGTTTCTTTAAATAGAAACATAAATTTTTATTCCTTCATGACACCTCTGGAATTGGAAAATATTTGGGAGTAGTAGTATTTTGTGGCAGAAATGTTATTTGCATAAGTTTAATAATGCTTGTTGCATGAATCAGAAATTGGAAATACTCATTATTGGACAGGGCTCTGACTGGAATGTCATATCTGAAGATTAATCAGAAAACTATGGAACTAAGGTGGATCTCAAGCCAACAGAACCTCTTAGAAAGATGGCCTGGCACCATAAATAGTTCTGCCTGGCAGAGAGGATTAGAGAAGATATATGAAAGAATTTATAACATAAAATAACCTGGACTTTTCCATCCCAGCATTGTAATCAGTAGAGATTGCAAAAGAGCAACCACACCAGAGGATTATCTTGAGAAAGACTTTGAAGGAAGAAAAAGAGACTGATCTTTGCTAGCAGATAGTATATCACAGAATGCTTGGTAGGCAGGGTTGAATTGAGAAGGTTTATGTGTGACTCGTGTGCTGGGCATTTGCTTTTCAACAATTTGAGTAAGTTGACATGTAAATATTTTCTCAAAAATATTTAAAACCATACTGTTTCTGCTGTTATACAGTCACAAGTAAAATTACACAAAACTATAAATATTTTAAACATTATTTTTAAAATTTAGCATTTTGAAATTTTGTAAGTTTATTAACCGTCAGGAACTATGGAGTATGAGCTAAATTTTTTTGATATGTAAAATAAATGTTTATAGAAAAATGTAAGAATAAATTTATTAATGAAAAAAGAGAAAGGGGTGGGTAAGTGGGAGGTGGAGCTACGGGAGTTCAGAGTGAGTCTGTTTGTGCTGACTTTCTTGGGGTGAGCTCATAATGTAGATAGCAAATATAGTGGTTTCTTCCACATGTGAGAGGTATGTTTTGGAGGACCTCTAGACACTAAAACATATTTCTTTTCTTTCTTTCTCTTTCTAATTGCTAGAGGGTATATGTATTCTCCAGAGAGAGACAGGCAGGGGAAGCACCCCCCGCAATGGGATGTGGTCATGCCTCAATCTCTTCTCCATTTCTTTATCTTGTTGGGATTTAGGGCACTCCTGCGCACACATGCAGTTATGCTTTTCAAGCCACCAGGGCTAGGATTTGAACTGCAAGTTGGCCACATGGTATCTGTCTCCCTTAATTGCTGTACCATGGGGCTAGACTTAGAACACATTTCCAAGAAGGAATGATTTTAGGTAGATAAGTCACCATTAGACAATTTGCAAACACTATTCTGTTTAAAAACGAAAGACTGTTTACAGGTGTGCTACAGTTAAACCCAACTTGAACTTTGCAGGTGGATTAGAAAATGTGATCATTTAGATGTGGAGAAAGGCCATTCTGAGCAAATATGATGACCTTCAGACACATGCAGAAACAGTGTTATGTGAGCTGTAATTTGCATGGCAATGAAGGCAATTAACTTATGAACACACTAGATATGTGCTGTTATCGCAGTATCAGGTTAAAGAAAGTCACATGTGTTAATCAGAATTGGCGCCAAAAGATCAGAGAAATGACATGGCGCCAGTTGTCCTCACATCATCAGCCAAATAACATCTGAAAACAACTGGCTTTGCATTCCATGTCCTCTTCCCCCATTTTCTGCCCTATAAAATAATAAACCTGAGACTGGTTTGGGATCATGGCTTTCTCCATCAGAGAAGTCAAGCCAACCCAAACCTCGCTTTCTATATTTGTATGTCTTTGTGTGTTTATTTTATGTTTATTTCTAATCCACAGCCCCCCCCTCCCACCTCAGAAAATGCTTGCGTTCTGCCGCAGGTCCCCGCAGACGCCACTGGGG